ATTAGTTGCAATTCTGCAATACTTATTTATCACCAATTATAACATCATTTTTATTTTATTATACTAGACTAATAGCAGATTTTATTTAAGAAAATGAAATGTTACAGATATCAATTTCAATGTATGACATGAACTTAGAATCCCTGCTTTTTCCTAATATATTTACTGATAGAAGAGGTTACTTTCATAATATAATAGACAAATTTTATTTTATTAATGGAGACCATAACAAAACTTACAGTAAATACATAAAATAATGATTAATAAATTACAATCTGAGATGAAGACTACACCATTATTAATTTACTTGATCATACTTATAACTAGAGAAACTTAGTCACTACTGAATACCTAATGATTATTAAAACAGGTTCAGCTAAATTTCAGTAATGGTAATCACCTTTCTGTAGGCAGAGAATTATTATAACTAAGTGAGTATAATCTGAATTAATAAAGACATAATGATGCCTATCTCTTCTTTCATACATACAGGTAATACATACTTTTATTAAAAATAACTACACTTAAATGTTATAATTTAAAAGATTAACCTACTGACCTTCTTTAACATAGCAGAAAACTGGTAAATCCATCTTTATAATATACTCTCAGATAGCAATAACAGAGATACCTTACCTACCAACAGATCTTTTTAATATATGAACTACTTCATTCATAAGTTTCAGTACTTAAAGAAGGAATTTTACAAGAAGTCAAACTTAATAGATTTCAGGGAAATTACTGATTTTTTTGATAGAGTGGAATTTAGAATAAAGGTGCAGTCCACATCTATAGCTGCTATTGAACGACTGTATCTATTGAAGAGATGATTGTAAATAATATTATTTGTTCAATGATGTCTGATCTTCTCATTGAACCTGAACTTTACGCTACCATAATATTAAACTAGATATATACCTATAACGTGAAATGTCATAAACTAGCAGTACTATAACAAATGTGCAAAAAAGAATTCTTCTGTCCTTTTAACAAGATAATGCATTATGAGAAAGGGAACTTCTAATAGTTTACAAATATTTAAAAGAAGCTGATTCATTAATTATTCCTTATTATCTAGTGATATTATTAATTTAGAATGCTTACATGAATACTTAATACATAACAGACAGAGAATTTATGTAATATATGATTAAATATTTTTTGAAATAGGAACCTTCTCATATTTTTAACATATAAGATGGTGATTGATTAAGGAAATACATTATAACAAAATGACTCAGTTCAATAGAACTGATATTTTTACTCTTAGGTTACATCATCTGTAACTCATTTATTCACTCTACAATTGACATATTTCTTAATACTATATACATCATAGATTTTAAAGAGATCGTTTAGGAGATCAATAGAATAGTATATAATACATTATCAGTTTCTAATAATAAATTCCTAATCTCAAACTTAGACAATTTTGTAAACTCTGTCCAATGGAATTTGACATCCTCTGACCAGATATTCAAATTAAAAATGAATTTTCCTATATCTGTTTGATTACAGTCAAGCATTCGAGTTATGTTTCTTAACAATTTTCTTATAAATAAAGAAATATAGAATGGTATGATAAGTGTCATTACAGATGTGAACCTTATAAAATAATTTATCTGGATTGCATTTTCTATTAGAGGGTCACTGATTGATGTAGATATCAATAAGCAGACTTATTACTTCAAAGTATATAGAAATAATTGCTATTGTATCCAATTTCTATTATAAAACTGTTTCATTCTCACTGTTTACAAAATACAGAGACTAATATTACTAAGAGTATCACTTGTTTTAGATGAAAATATTTTTCTCTTGACCAAGCTTATATAGGATAATGTTAAAATATCCTATTTCAATCTATCAGCATTTATAGTCAACCAAAATATAGTTATAAAATACCAAAGACTAAATAATGTATCATTGATAAATCTGTATTAAGAGACTATTAAGGAATAACTGACTTTTTATTAGATTTCTTACTTATGTTTACCTTAATAATATTATTTTATCATTTTTATTATGATAATTATTTTTATATTACACTTTGACTTTTAATAACAAAACGCATTTTGCTTTTTTTTCTTTATATTAATCATTTATCATTTATATATAGTTGCATACCCATGACATGTAATGTTATAATATCTTTTTTATTTCAGAGATCTATTAAACTATTAATATTATACCTATTACATTATTATAAGTTATTATAACATTACATAAAATGAAATTAATGATCACATAGTATAGGTATTTGAAATTTAATGTATTGGTTAATTAATTCATAATTAAAATTAAATAAATTTAAGATTAGAATTAAAATTTAAAATTAGTTTAAAATAAAGATGGTTCTTATAATTATTTTTAAATTTCAATTAAGTTGCAACTTAATTGCAACATAAAAAAATTTAATTGCATCACAAGTTACAACTCAATTATGCTATTTTTTTAATTTCAGTTATCATCTTTAGTTTAAAAATATTTTATTGATTAATTTAATTTATAAAAAAAATGAATATTAAATCAAATTATTTTATAATAAAAGAATTTATTTCATATTTTAGTAAAATTAAAAATTTAATTTATAATATATTTTATAAATAATAAAAATTAGTTTAAATCAGGTATTAAAATATAGATTAAGAATTATAAAATTAATTCTATTAATTAATTTAAAATTGGTTTTATTAAATTAATTTATTTTTAAATATGCTATATTTATTATAAATTATTATTTAAACTTTAAATAAAAAAATTATTTGTATTTATTTTAGTAAATCCTTAATTCTTAACTAAATAAAAAATTGATTTACTATTTGAAATTATAAATAATTTTTTTTTAATAATAAATTTAAATTAAATTTAATAAATTTAATAGTTTTATTATTATAAATATTTTAATAATTTTCTTAGAATCTGAAATTGCTTTATTAAAATACTTTTTATTATACAATATCAATTATAATATTATCTATAATTATATTATTATTAAAGTATATTTTTTTATCTTCTATTAAAAAAATAATAAATAGTAATTTACTAAATTTATCAAATTTAAAATCTGATAATTTAAATATTATTTCTTTAGATTTTTTGCTTAATTTTTAATATTTTTAATAATATTTCAAGATTGTTTGATATAAAGATAATGCAATTGAATTGTAATATAATGAACAATTAAATTACTTATAATGCAATTAAATTATAACTCAATTTAAACTTAAAAGTAATTATGAGAATTATTTTAGTTTGATATATTTATTTAGTTTTAGCATTATTACTTCAAGCATATTACAGATAAATTGTCTACAATTTTATTTAATATTTAAAATTATTTATAATAATTTTAAATATTTTTAAAATAACTTATTTAAAAATTAATATTTTTATAATAAATTTTATAATATTTTTAAGTAAAAATTCAAAAAAAAAATATATAACTAATTAGTAATATTTTATATATAAAATAAAAAAAGTTAAATTTTAAATTTATATATCTTATTATCTATTGATCTCAATAAAAATATAATCTTTTAATAGAATTTAATAAGATGAATCCAATAAATTAAATTTTATTTTTTGTAATTATTAGATAATAAGTTATTTAAAAAATTGAAAAATTAAAATTGACATATATAAATAATTTATTAATTTATGATCATTAGATATTAAAATATTATAATTTTTTACAATATTTTATAATCAATTTATACTTATATTTTAAGAGATAATCCTGATAAATTAAAATAAAATATTAAAACTTATCATAAAATAAATAAAATAAAATAATATATTATAATAATAATAATTATTACTTAATTAAATATTAGCATTATAATTACTATTTAAATATGATAATAATTAATATAAATTTTATTAAATTAATAATACAATTAAACTATTTACATTATAATTTAAATTTACTATTTAATTTATAAAAAAAAAAAAATATTTTATAATTTTTTTATTACAAAATTTCATATTATTTATAATAAGTTTTTAATTAAATACAATAGAAAATTTATTATCAATTTATTATTTTTAAATATATTTATTTAAATAATTATATTATTAAATATATAAATAAATAAATAATATTTAAAATTTAGTAATATATATAATTTAAAAATAAAAGTTAAATTATTTTTATTAAAAATTTAAATTAATATAAAAATTGCTAATTAATACAAAAATTTTTTTAAAAAATATTATAAATTTTTTAAATATATTTAATATATTTAAAAATGACTTCAAAGAAAAAATTGTAAATAAATAAAATAATATTATTTAAATACTTTTTTTATATAATTTAATTGATTATTTTATATTAAAATATATATTATTTTAAATAAAAAATTAATTAAAAGAATATTATGTATATTAAAGTTTTAATATTTTATTAAAATTTTTAGAAAAAATGATTTATAAATAAATAATATATTTTTTTTATAATAAATAAATATTTTATAATAAAAAATGGAAAAAAAAATTTATTTATATATATTAAATATGATTTTAAAATAAAATATATTTTAATTTAATATTAACTTATAAAAGAAATTTTTTTATAATTTTCTTTCTATTTATATTCAAATAATAAACTTATAAAATCAAATGTTATAAAGAATATTTTGTAATACTAAAATTTATTAAAGAATATTAGAATATTTTATCTATTTAAATATTTTTATTAATCTTTTTTATTAGATTATAATTTGCTATTATTTTTCTAAAATTAAATATTAGTTAAATTTTATTAATATAATTTTTTAAAAAAGTATTTAAATTGGATAATAATTATTATTATTAATGAATAATACCAAAAATAATTTCTTGAAGAAAATTACAATGAATAATGCCTATTTAATGTTTATAATCATTTTATAAATTTATGGATAAAAAAATTAAATGAAATATTACATAAAATTTACTAACCAATTACAAATAAAAATAATATAAATGAATTATATAAATATATATATATAAAGTTAAACTTAAAAAGTCCAGATATTTCTCAAAAAAGGAATAGTATCTAAATAACCTTTATCACCAAAATCTTTCAAAACACCACTTGTTAAATATTTTTGAAAAATTCTATCCAATTCTATTCTAGATTTACTTTCAAAAGGTAACAAGTATAATGATAAAGAATTTTTTTGTTTTTCTTTCCAAAATTCCAAAAATTCTATCAATTCTTTCGAAGTAAAAGTCCATTTTCCTTGTAAACATAAAATACATAAATTTTCATTTCCATGTGATATCAATTCCAATAATTCAAAAATCAATTTTCCTTGTACGAAATTTCCTGTACAACTTTCATCCGCTAAATAATATTCATCAGAATTCGAATTCGAATTTAGATCTTGATAACAAAATTTAATTGCTTCTAATTGACGACATAAACTCAATAAAGTGAAAAGTTCTTTCTGAGTTTCTTCTGACCACCAAATTGTCAAGAATCTTAATGTAGAAGAAGCTGGTAATAATATTTGTATAAAATGCTTAATTTCTTCAATACAAACAGGTGGAGTAATGTCATTCCAATAAATTCTTTGCAAACAAGGAGAATTTGAAGCAGAAATCGAATTTGAAATTAAACTTGAATAAGTACTAAAAGGAGCATTCTCATCACCAAAAATATCCAAAATCTCAAGTTTAGGTAAGGTTGTAAGAGATAACAATTCCATATTTGCAACCCTCGTTGTTATATCCAATTGCAAGATTCTTAAATTAATGAAAAAAGCGATAGTTTCCGGAGGAATACATAAGCTTTGACGTATTTTAAGGAAAGATAAAGAATGCGCTTGAGTGATTAATGCTTGACCAATTCTTGGGCAAATGCTAACATAATCTTCTGACGAATCCAACACGAGAGATTTTAACCCTTTTTGTAATTTAATCAAAGTGACCAAACCTTCATTATCTTCATCACAATGACAAATTGTCAGTCGATGAAGATTTCTACTGATATGAGCTAATCCATAAAATAATTCTGGTGGTCTATCGATATAACATTTAAGGTGTCGCAGATATTCTAGGCAATGATTTGCTCCAGGAAAATAAGATAAAGGAATCCTTGGCAAAACGAGATGTTTAAGAGAACATCTTGACATAAATAATTTATAAAATTCTTGCTCCACTAGATGTTCTCTGTATAATCTAGAATAAAATTCGTTAACATTTTTTTTATTATCTTCTCCAACCGTCAGAATTCTTTTAAGTCTATCCATCACAGTGGGCGATAAATATTGACAATACCCTACATAATCAAATAAGGGAGGTTTCGATGATATTGTCTGTAATAAATCTATTCCATTCCTTCTCAATATATCTTTTGATTCTTCAGGTAAACAAGATGAAAATGTTCTTATAATCGCTGGCCAATTTCTATCTACAAAAAGTTGCGTGCTCTGCCACGGATTATTCCACAAGAGTGGGATTGCTATTTCACACCATAATCTATTCACTAATAAACAAGAATGAAGTGAACTTGCGTCGTCTAATAGACATCTAAATATACCATTAAGACAATCTGTTGGTAATGATGGTGTCATCCTTAAAGAATTCCAAATTTTTCTTAATTTTCTATTATAAAAAAATCAAAAAATTCGAGAGAAAAGAATGAAAACTGTGGCTTTTATATTTTTTTTAATAACATAAACAAATCGTAGCCGTATTACCCAAAGTAGCGAAGCTACAAATGATCGATCAGCGACATAATTGACATAATTCCACCACATCTTATATTTTGATTGGAGCAGTGCATTATTTCGTTTAAGCACGTGGACATCTTGTGGGCGCAGTACGCTAGCGTTCTCGGTGAGTTTATCAAAATCAATTTAATTAAAAACGATCGAAAAAAAAAAAATAAAACAAACAACTTTTTTCATTTATAATTTGGAACAAATGTAGTGTCGCGGAGCCTTGGTCACTTCTGAGATTCACGCTCTCTTACTGCGCATTGATGTAGATCATTCCCAATTTAAGTTTACGCACATTAATAAAACAGATTTTTTGATTTTCTCTTTCCTTCCAATATTATATTTCATAATGCCAGATATCGTTCGCTCATTAGCAAGGCTTCGAAAGCGGAGAAGATTGATTCAAACTCTTAAAAAATGGGTTCCGAAACTTCGGTATCTTATTTATTTAATTAACATTATTTAATATATTTTCTTTTTTTTGACGTGTTAGTTTTTGTATTAAATATAGGTATCTTTTGTTTGCTGTTGGAATATGTTGGCTTTTTATTTTTCCATCGGAACAATATCACAAAAACACTTATATATCAGAAAATGCTCTACTTCCTGGCCAGGTCTGTGAATTTATTTTAGATAATTATGTTTCAAATTAAAATTAAATCAAATTAAAACCAAATAAATTAAATAACCCGTTTATGATATAGGTTAACACATATTATAGCTGGGGACAGGTTTTTGATGCAACAAATTTTCGAGACGATATAAGCTTGATGTCAAATGTTTCAAGTATAAAGTATGTCAATTGATAAAAGAAGATAAAATGGAATACTTGATCAATTTTTTAAGTACTATTTTCCTTATGAAATGATTCAGGAGAGCCGTCTATATAGAAGAAGGATTACGGAAGGCCGGATTAAAAACAGCAATGCAGAATTTTACGGTTAACGTATCTGGAAAGGTAAATAATCGGGTTAAACTTTTTTTGTTTGTTTTAAAAAAAATAATTATTTTGATTCTTATATAATTAAAGTAATTAATCAATTCACAGAAAATTTATGGAACAAATGTTTACGGTTTAATCAAGGCACCACGCGCAGATGGAACAGAAGCGCTTGTTTTGAGTGCCCCATGGAAATCAAGGGATGGAAAAACAAGTAAAGTTAAAAAATTAAATATATTATTACTTTCCACTTACGTCCTATTAAATTTTTTTTTAATTTTAGTTAATATCAATGGAATAGCAGCGGCTCTGTCTTTGGGAAAATTTTTCAAAGGTAAATGGTTCTCTTGGGATTTAACATTTTTCTATCAATTTTATACAAATTCTCCTTAATTTATTAGGTTACACTTATTGGTCCAAAGATATTATAATTCTTATTACGGATGGTGGAGAAGCCGGTGTTCAAGCATGGCTTGAATCATATCACGACCTTCCTCGATCAGGTTAATATATATATTAATTAGGAAAAATTAGGCTCTAATAATGATGTTTATGTTATTTCTTCAATTATTTATATATAAAGGTATTTTATCGACGCCTTTGTTGTTGAGATCTGGTGCAATTCAGGCAGCTATAAATTTAGATTTTCCAAATACATCTGATTATAAGGCATTGGGAATTTTTTTTGGTAACATTTTTTTATTTTAATTCTTTACACTCAAAATCAACGTGTCTAACTTACTTGCATTTTAGAGGGCGTTAATGGACAACTTCCTAATTTAGATTTAATAAACACAGTCGTAAGAGTGTGTCGAATATCAAATCACATTCCCATCATGTTACATGATTCTGGACATCATTACCTTTATGATAATGGCGATTATTATGCCTCACTCCATAATTTATTGCAGGCTATGAAATATCAAGCTTTAGGACATCCAACTGGAAGCCACGGCTTGTTTTTCAGGTGAATAAATTTATCTATTACTTCATTTATCGTAGTCGCTAATTTACATTTTTAACTTTGAATGTAGATATAAGATTGACGCCATAACTTTATATGGTCATACTTCCGCTCCTACTTCAAATTCTTTTAGTTTTAAAGAAATTGGATCGTAAGATTTTATAACATAATTCATTTTTTTCCTATTTTAAGTCTTATTAATTTGAATGATTGTCCAAATTATAGTATTGTGGAGTCAACTTTTAGGAGTTTAAATAATCTTTTAGAACATCTCCACCAATCTTTCTTCTTTTATCTTTTGCCGACTCCCGAGCGATATATTTCAATAGGCTCATATCTGCCACCTGCTTTATTATTAGCTGTTGGATTGATTTTCCATATATCCTTTTTTTTTAATCCCTGTTTTAATTTCGAATTATTATAAACCCTTAATATTTATTTAAATCACGCTTTAGAATTATGGGGGAAAACAGGAAATATCATTGAACCAGTTCCCGAAGATGGCCGGTCAAAATCTAGTTCATCAAACGAAAATTTCCATGCTGTTCCTTTACCGTATAATAATCGGCCACGACAAATTTTATTTCCGATGACAGTTTTGATTGTGACTCATTTTACAGGATTGCTCATTTTCTTTGTGATTTTAAATCATTCTTCAATTAGTCAAATGCCAGAAATGTTTGGCATGCAGGTGAGTTTTAAGTGTATCAAATATTTATCAATTTCAAGCATATTAAATTTTACTTTGATGTATCTTTAGGGATTTCTATTTACACTATCATTGACAACAAGCCTGTCAATAATAGTACCAACAAGTTTAATAAAAATTTCTCAAGTTAGATCACTTAATAACAATGCACCACCTCCGAGACAAAAGCCAGCACCTAATTGGATGATATTGAAATCATTTACATTAGCATTTACAGCGATGATAATATCATGTTTATCGGTGCTTAATTTTAATTTGGCGGTATTTATTTCATTAATGGTTATAATACCATTTTCATTATTTCAACCAACCCCGCAATACCAAATATTACGATATATACAATTATTAGTATTAATTATAATATCACCACCAGGAATATTATTGTTTAGTAGAACTAATATGGAAGAGTTTTTAAGATGGGCTTTAATGGAATATGAATTATTTGGAAACTATTTATTACCTTTCATTTGTTGTTTTTATTGGCCTAATATTTTGGTTTATGGAGTCATTGTTTTTTCTGATGATGCAAGTTAATTTATAAAAAAAAAAAAAAAAAAAATAATGTAAAGTAAATGTTATAGAAGTTGTAATAACATCAATAATAATAATATATAATATATTATTTGATTTTGGACCTTAATGTTAATACTTCGTATTATGGAAAGATCCTTGGGAAAGCCTAACCAGCACTATAAAAGGACAAGATTTTATATAGTTTGTAAATACTTAAATAACTCATATCGCTAAAACTTGGAATTGTGAAAATCTTATAATCGGTTTACATTAAAATCTATGACAATGTCATCGAAAATATCCGGGACCTTGATATAATAGCATCCGTGTTCATTACTAATTCATCATTTTTTTTTTTTTTTGAACTGTCTATTGAAAATTCTGTGTTCAAAGGATAATAAAAGTCCAAAGAAATTTGAAATATTTTGAATATGATGATAATGATACGATATTCTTTAATTTCACCAAATATACTTCCAAAATACTAAATTTGCCCAACCTTCAAGAACTTCGGAGAGTATATATTGGTCAAAGGTAATTAAAAAACATAAGGGGGGATTACCTGCTTATCAAGTATTAAACACTTTTATCAGAATTTGCTAAAACACTATAAAGGGTGGGAATTTACTCCTGAAAGTTTGAATTTTCTTTTTTTTTTTTTTAGAAAATGGAAAGGTCTACCTAGACTTTATGCATTTTCATTTGCTATTTGTCGCTTTGAAATTAATTGTATATATACAAACAAGTCTCGAATTAAATGAGGTTAGCCGAAGTAGCATGACTTCTTCAACAAGCAAATTTTTCACAAGTACAATTATTATTATTGTATTCGCGTTTAAAAATGTTTCTTGAATTATTTTAAATATAGTCAAGGTAAGAAACATCAGAATTGCATATTTCGTTGCTGGCTTAGCCAAACCCTTTCTTTTTTAAAAAAGAAAAAGACTCGTTGCCACCTGATCACCAACGTTGAGGTGCAGCAACATCGATCAGGCCCCTACAAAACCTAAAATAAATTTCAATAAAAACAACAAAAAACGAACGAGATTTAATGTTGGAATGTGCTTTCCTTAATATTATTAACTTTTTAGAATATCTTTCTGAAGGCAATTCAAATTTTGCAGTTAGTAAAATAAAACAAAATAAAACAACAAAACATAGGATTAGTAGCGTGATTTATAGCAATTTTGACGTCGTCGGAAATCTTCTCGTTGATGATAAGTATCGGATTTTCTGTCATAGAATTTCTCTTCAGTAATGTTGTATGGATCCGGTTCTTTGTAATCTTTTGCTCTTTCTTCAATGTTGTAGTCTCGCGGTAGAAATTTTGGAGTTGGGAGATAATCGCATTCGAATTCGTATTGGTATCGTCGACCGTATTCGTCATAGTATTCCATTCCTACTTTGAACAATTTTTTGGGTTCCTTATTGCCTCTAACCCATTTACCATAAAAGTCGGTGATCAAAACTGAAAAAAGAACGCAAATGAAGATGGCTAAAAATTCGTAGAGGGGACAGCTCATAAACATTCTGTAAGTGAAAATGTAGTAATATTATTGTTTATTGAAAATCAAATTTAACAATAACAGCAAATAAAATTGATACCATTTTTGGAATGTGCGTCACGCGTCGTTACTTTGGGATGATTGCTAACCTAAAGATAATTAACCGATAGATAATTAATCTAAAAGATAATTATAGTCGACCAATCAAAACGAGAAAATAGTGATACAAAAAAATATATAATGGTTCATTAAACGGTTAATTAACCGGTTAAATAAACCAAATCTTAATTAACCATCCCTAGAAATTTATATTTATTTCCATCATAATTTCATATATTTATAAGGAATTATTTTAGTAAATTTTTAAATAAATTAGTTTTAGTTGTGAAAATTAACTAATATGTTAATTTAATTTATTATTCTTATTTAACTTTTTTAATCGCCAAAATTCATATTTTATAAATTATTAACATTTTATAAGTTCAATAATCTTAACAAAAACTTATATCTTCTAATGTATTTCTGTTACTTGTTATTAAGAGGATTTGTTTTATATATTTATCTAAGAATCTATAATTTGTATTCTTTTAATATATTATTTTTTATTTAATTCTTATTTTTTATTAACTCTTTTTCTTATATATATTTTATTTCATTATTAATTATTCTTTTATCTTTATTATTTATCTTTTTAAATTATATTTAGTAATATACAAATCATTTAATATGTAAGTTATTCTTTTGTAATTTATTTATTCATCTTCTATAATATAATTCCATTTCGTTAAACATTTCTAAAATATTTTTTCTTTTTATTATAATTCTTTATTTATATTTTTATAGATAATTCATCATATTATTATATTTTATTATCTTTATTTATTTACAAAACTATATAATTATTTATATAATTTTTCTTTTACATTCTTATTCATTTTTATATAATATTTATATAATTTTATTCGTATTTCTTGATAAAATTTCTTTATCTCTATTCTTTGAATATATTTTATTATTTATATTTCTTTAATATATATAATTATTTATATTTTTAATCTTTATTTAATTATTTTAAGTTATTTTTTATTATTTATTTTCTACATTATTTTTAATCACATAATTTATTTTCTTTAAAATTATTATAATTTATTTTTAACTCAACAATAATTATAAGATTAATATTTCAACTAAGTTTTTATAATATAATCTATAACTTTAATATTTTAAAAAACTAATTAAAGCTGATATATTGAAATTAATATATTAATAAATAAATAATTATATTTTATTATTTGAAATCTTATTTATTATAAATTAATTTATAATTTTTTTAAAGTATGATAGTTTTACAAAATTTTTATTATGATAAAAGTAAATTATAAAATATAAAATACAAATTAGAAGGAATTACAAAAATCTTGTTAAAACTAATCTAAGACTAATTAAAAGAAGATTGATCTTGTACTTCTTCAAAATCAAACTTAATCTAAATTAAGTATATCATTTTTTAGAAAAGTTAATTTTATAATTTTTTTAAGGTAAAAAATTAAACAATAGAAATCTATGATAATGATTATTTATTATGTATAAGGGATACAAAGTAATCCTATAAGTTACAATCTTAAGACCTTAAGATTTTGGCAAAACTTAAGTTCTAATCAAAATCTGTTTATTGATACTAGTCTAAGACCTGCTACCTAGGTTAACACTCTAGTACATTAAGCCATAGAAATTCTAAAACCTTAAAACCACCGTCAAATTTGTATAGAAGAATCATTTTTAACTACAGGTACTTACGTCACTTTTTCCTACCTTTACTAATACTAATCAGAATCACTATTACTTCTGCTTAGTATCTGAGTATATTATCCATAATCAGAAAAGTTTAGATGTTATCATTCTTATAGAATCTTAAAAAGATAGGTGACTGTCATATTCATATCGTCAAATTCATCTGAGAATTAAACTTTACCTCTATCTCTAATAATAGTTCGATTGGATAATACTGCAGTAGTATAATGCAGTCTATTATTATCATAGTCATATAAGATACTAAGATCTTAATATAGTACCTAATCTACTAATTACTAGTTAACTACTTCTTTACTTGTGTAAAGATCCCTGAATTTTAAGACGTAAGATAATATCTATTACAAACTTATCAGTGAAAGTCAAGTCTTTATTGATCTCTAACTTCATTTATATCTAAATATTCTTAAATATTCAGTATTTAGGCATAATCAAACTGATTAATAAATCAATTAATCAGTTATAATGCATATTAGTATATACGCCTATATATTTAGTTATATATGAAATTCTTAAAAAAATCATCTAGTTTTATGACTCAGCTAAAACTTAAACTTGTGGCTATTACAATATAAGTTAATTTTATAATTTAAAATATTACTACTATTTATAATAATTTAATATTGATTAATTTTTTAAATTATTCTAAATCCTTAATTTTCTTTTTTTTGTAAATCATTATATTATTTCTATATATTATTTTTATTTTATATATATTTTTTTCTATATTTAAATTTCTAATAAATATTTTATTATTCTTTCTTTTTTTTTATAATATAAATAATATATTTTATATTTCTTATTTATATAATAATTCTTTTTTATTATTTTTATTAATTTTCTTTTTTAATAATATAATATTCTATAGTTATATTTTTTTGATTTCTTTCATTTAAACTTTTAAATAATCTTTCTAAAATTATATTTATTTTTTTGATGAAGTTATATGATATAGTATTTATAAATTTATAATTTTACAATATATATATTTTTTAAAAATGCTTTTTTTTTTTAAAATATTAAATATAAAATATTTTAAAAATTATTATAAAAATTATAATATTTTAATGTTTAGTAATTATACAAAAACAAAATAAAATTTAATAGATTTATCATATTAAAACTTATTTAATAATAGTATTTTTAAATTTTAAAATTAGTGATTATTATTATATATTGATTTTAAATTTTTAAATTTTTAAAAATAATTTATTATCTAATAATCATAAAAAAAAATTTAATTTATTAGATTTATCTTATTAAAATCTATTAAATAGCAGTATTTTTATATTTTTGAGATTGATATATATCAAAAAGAATTGCTATTTATATATAAAATATTTAAATACTATATAAAATATAAGGTATAATAAATATTATTTAATATAATTAAAGCTCTAAACGGTTCAGTTCAGTTCAGATTAGATGCCAATCTGTATCTGAACTAAAAATTTCGATTCAGTTTAGTTCAGATTATTAATATTAAAAATGCTAATCCGAATCTGAACTGAATCGCAAACT